CCCCCCCCCCCCATGCCCTCCCTCTGTGTGACCTATGAGCAGAGATCAGTACTGAGTATGTGGTATAAGTGACAGTTAGTAAAGGAAGAACTCATTCAATTTTGAGGATATCTGTGGTTTTAAAGTTTTGGCTTTACTCAGACTGCTTCATATAATATATCTTTCATCACTGATGTAAAACACATGCCTAGTATTCTGTTTTTCTCCATCATTTCTCCACATATGCAGCTAAAGCAGTTCCTGATTGGTGCAGTGAAACTTGCAGGTAGAATCATAGAAAATCAGGGTTGGAAGGGACCTCAGGAAATCATGTAGTCTAACCCCATGCTCAAAGCAGGATCCTCCCCATCTATATTATTGTAGCCAAGGCTTTGTCTACCTGGGTCTTAAAAACCTCCAAGGATGGAGATTCCACCACCTCTCTGGGTAACCTGTTCCAGTGTTTAACTACCCTCCTAGTGAGAGAGTTTTTCTTAATATCTAAACTCAACTACCATTGCTGCAACTTGAGACCTTACTCCTTGTGCTGTCATTTGCCACCACTGAGAACAGTCTAGCTCCATCCCCTTTGGAACCACTTTTCACATAGTTGAAGGCTGCTATTAATTCCTCCCTCAGTCTTCTCTTCTCCAGACTCAATAAGCCCAGTTCCCTCAACCTCTCCTCATATATCATGTTCCCCAGCCCTCTAGCCATTTTTGTTGCCCTCTGTTGGACTCTCTCCAATTTGTCCACATCTTTTCTGTATTGGGAGGCCCAAAACTGGACACAGTACTGTGTGGACTTGTCCACGTTTGCTCCCAGGAACATCACAGGGAAGCCATCCCAAAGTGGCCTTCTTGCTAATAGTTATTTATAATAAAAGATCTTTTGCTTTTTATACATTAGGATGAAATAATGTGAAATGTGTTGGGGACAGGAGGGTTTTTTCAATGTACTTAATATATAAAGTATAATAGCTTGTTAAGTGAACAAACTAATACTATATAATAGCTTGTAACAGACAGTGTAGTGAAAGCTAGAGCCTGTTATGATCCATTTTACCTGGAACCTGCAGGGGCATGATACCATGGAGACAATGGAAGTCTATGTCAGTAGTACAGTTTTGAGCAAGTTGTGTTACTAATAGGATTTATTTTAGTAATTGATGCTACACCAGTGTGAGAGACAAAATTCTTATTCATTATAATGTTTACAGGGGTCAGGTTCCTTCTGAGGCAGAACTGAATTACTTGGGTGTGGCCAAGTCCCTGGAAATGTATGGAGTAGATCTCCATCCTGTCTATGTAAGTACTGCTCTCATGAACGTCAAATACTTGAAATTTAATGGTATTACAAAAAGTTTCTTACACTCAGGTAGAAAAAATGCATTTATATTTCTTAGTCATTAGGGGATATCTTTTTTTGTTTTTTTAAAGGATGCAAGAAATCTGAAGGAAAAAGTACCTTTAGGGAGCATGGACTAAATTATTTTATACCTAAGAAAGCTAAATGGATTTTGGTTAAAGATTGTGGTTGTATTTTCTTACAAAATACAATTCATTTTGGTGAACAAATACTATGGGTAAAAAATTTGAGAGATTTAATGGAAGTGTCAGACCAAGGTAAAAGAGCAGTAGTGTAATTAGGATGGGATGAGTGGGATTCAGCTCCCCTGAGAGTATTTGCCATGGCTGGAGCAATCCTGCACTGCCCCTGCCTGGCCATAAAAGCCAGGCAGCACAATGCTGCACCAAGCTGTATATCTGGGGTGTGGGTGGGGGTGAGTGGGGCAAGAACAGGCACAGCTGTGCACCTAATATGTATGCATCAGGGTGAAGGCGGGAGACGGGGAACAGAGCACCAGGGTTTGCTTCCAGGGAGCCCAGCCATGGGGCTGCTGCTACCAGAGCTGCTGCTGATGTTGTTACAGAAGCAGTGGTAGCAGTAGCTCAGGAAGGTAAGCCTTCCCACATCCCTCCATTTCCCGTCTCCACCCCCACATTGTCTGTCATTAAGCTGCTGCCAAAAGTAGCATGTGCTCAGTAATGGAAGCCAACCATGAAGTTGATTAAATGCAACCAACATTGAACATGACTGTAAAACACATGGCCCATATTGGGCAAACATACTGATGAAAATGTGTGTGTGTAGGTGCATGCGTGTCCCTTTAGAAAAAAAGCAAAAAAAAAGCAGTTGCTCACTCAGGAGAGCGTACTGCAGTGTAAACATACTCAAATAGCTTACAGTCAAGGCTTGCACTGGGTCTGGTGTATAGAGCCTGGGGCTTTGCCCCATGCATATGCTGAGGCTGAGTGGCTGGGAACTGTGCCTGTACCACACTCTGGTGGGAGGGAGAAGCAGCATCAGGCCTTGGCAGTGGCACCCAGGTCACTAGCCTGCCATAGACCCGAGCCAGGTTGTTTTGGTCCACGGCTCCCAAAAGTCACAGACCACTGGCCTACAGTGCTTCTAAAGTGAAACCTTGGTAAGATCAATTCTTATTCCAGTCACAGGCTCACTGCAAAGACCTTAATTTGCCTTACAGACAGTTCCTTGCCAATTCTCACCTCTTACCTTCAGGAGCTCATTCTGTATGGTTTTGAATACTTGCCATGATCTGAGGAAGCTGTAGCAAAACAGCTAATTTCAATACATCAAATACATAATTTTCTTGTTATTCTGTACCAAGAGGGCTGGCTAGCGATAAGCATTGAGAGTTTAGGAACTGTTTAACTTGGGAAAGGAACCATGGCTTCTCATTACTGTCAAACACCTTTTCATTCATTGTGAAAAAAGTGCTCTGAATCCCTCACAGCAGATGGTTTATTTTGGAGCACACTTCAGCACTCCTGGGCACCAGTATTTCAATAAAAAGAAGCCAACTGCAAAATTATACTCCAGTGAAATGAACCAGCCTGTCATTATGCACCTTCTCTTGGTGGCTATGACATTTGTTAGGTGTCAGGTTTTGATACAGAGTTTATTCTTTGAGTCTTTTATTACATTTCACTTTTTTCTCCCAGTTTCTCCAAGAAATCTTGATAATTAGGACTCCCATGCTTAGTCTTCCAGAAATAATTTGTTTCTTTGTTTCTAATGTAGTAGGAAGTTCATGTTTAGCTGTGAGAGAAATTGGCCTCTATGATTAAGATGTTTACGTGGGTGTGCCAAGTGCCAGAATCCTAAACCAGCAGATTGGCTTGTGTATCAGTTTGGGAAAAGAGCTCTTTGGAGCCTCTTGTAGAAATACAAACTGGATTATCAGAATACAGAAAATACAAAAATCAGATGGATGTTTACTTGTAGGAAGCCATCAACATAACTTGGAGCCTTCAGAATATTGCAAGAAACTTCTCTTCCGCTGGAAGTCCCTTCCATGTGTCAAGGAGCTTTGCTACACTGTCAGCTCCTTTATCATTATACAAAGGGTTATGGGATTAATAATATCTAAAAACTGCTTTTGTTTTAATACAATACATGAATTCTGGTTAGTTCAGGGAGATAGATGGCTATGTCATTTTTCAGGGTTTCCCTTGAATTAAAGTGCTGACCTCTGTATGATTTCCCATTAAAATCACTATAGCTTTTCAGTTCTGCAGAAGTTTCGTGATAAGACTGATGATTCATATATCTTGGATGGTACGGTAGAATGAACCTACTGTAGAGTTCAGAAGTATATATTTTATGAGTAAATACTGTATCATGTCAAGTGTGAAATGTGAACAGCACTTAACTTTAAGATGCAAAGAGAGCGAAACATGACAGTTTACTCGAATTAATTTTCACTCTTAGTGTCTCATGTAAGTAATCTTTATGAAAGCAGTCCCATTAAAGTCTAAAAGACTGCTCCCATGAGATAAGGTTCATCCAGTAAGTAAGAGTAGGGTAGAATTCACTGGCTAGTATGATGGTGATAAGAAGATGATCAACCCTTATACAGAAGTTTTCAGCAGTAGATTTGAAAATGTTTTATAAAGGATCATTATCCCCATGTTATAGATAGGGAATCTGAAACAGAGAAATAGTGACTTGCTGAAGCTCCCTGCCCCTGGCACTACTCCATCCTCTCAGACAATATCTGTAAAAATAAAATTATAGCTATAAATAATAAAATGGCATATATTTTGTTTTCCAGGGTGAGAACAAGTCTGAATACTTCTTAGGATTAACACCTGTAGGAGTTGTTGTCTACAAGAATAAAAAGCAAGTAGGGAAATATTTCTGGTATGTACCTGTATAACTTAACAGTGTTGTCTGTATTAAAATAATATGGCTATGAGGGAAATATGATACATTTGTCAGTTTTATAAAAGACAAACAAGAATCTTAGCTCAAATCAGTCTTTCTGTATAGAATGAATTGGTTAAGTATTTTCTGTACATAATATTACAAGAGATTTATGTTTCCATGCTTATATGCATATGTTTAAGTGTAACTTTTTGTGGTGGGTAATGCGCAAAACCATTGAGGCATTTGGAAGAACTATCACATGTTGATGACTAACAGAAAGACATCTTTTTGTCCCATTCAAATGCATCTTTTTCTTTTTTGTATCTTTTCTATCCATTGGCTATAAATATCATAATTTTTTCTATATCTTTTTTTCCATAGGCCTAGAATTACGAAGGTTCACTTCAAGGAAATGCAGTTTGAACTTAGAGTGCTGGGAAAAGACGTAAGTCTTTTTTATTTCAGACTTGAAAGAAAAAAAAAATCCTGAAATTAATCTAATCTAGCTGTTAACAGTTTAATTTGTACCATGAAATGGACCTACTTTTATTAATAGTTTTAATTTAACTATTACCAGAAGACTCTACTTATACTGTCTTTGGAAGAAGATTTAAGTGTAGAAGTTCTAGTGAAGAGAGAGAGTGAGGAGAGGGTTAGGCTTTCTCTTTCTTGCCTATATGTTCCTCACTTGGCAGGCAAGATAGGTGAGTCTTATTAAAGGAAATCAGAAGGGGACTTTATTGTATATAGTCCAGATTTGTTCCTCTGTCATCTGTAAGGCAGAAGATTTAGAATGTTACAGAATGCTCATTCATGTACAAATAAGTCCACTTCTCAAAAGAAGTGATACATTAATTGCTGCTTGATAGTGCAAATATGCGCTTATTGTGTGAAGCATGTGGACTTATTGCAGCTGCTTACTAAGCTGAATGGGAAATCTGGAATCTTTGAGAAGGGGGACACAAGTCTGCAGTCTAAATATTGATTCTTGGCTTATACTTTATGAATGTTCTATATGTGCTTGTAATAGTCAAGCTGCCTAACTGCATTTGGTAATTTCAGACCCTGACAGGTATTACAAAGAAACTGTTTTAAAGAGTAGCAAAAGAAACTGTGGGTGGTGACAGACATGCAGCTCCCTGCTGTAACTCATGGTACTTTGTAGGAAGTTCTATGAGTTGCAATATCTCCCCTCTCCCCCTGCCCAGCAGATGTTTGCCGATTGGTCTGGTGGGTTGGAGGATTGAGATGCATGTCTGCAGCTGCTCTCCATTAGAACCCTCCCCCAAGCAGGTTCTCTGGTGCTCTTTTCAGAATGGGGGGCAGGGAAAGGAGGGGAGGGAGCTTGGTTTGGGTTTTGCCCAGCTTGCACTGGAGTGGACTGGGTGGGTTAGAAGATTGGAGTCCCCCAAGGTGGGCTACAAATCCACCCACCCTACTCTCCAGCTCAGGCTGGGCCAACCCCAGACCAAGCTTTCTTTTCCTCTTCTCCTCCCTCTCTTCCTCCCCACCCTCCATTCTGAAGATGGCACTGGGGGCGTGGCAGGGTGGGGTTGGGCTGTATCAGATTAACCCTGCCTGGTACACACTGATAGATGTTAATGAAGGCACTCTGCTTTGGAGTGCTTTTGTCTGAACCCTTACGGAATGAGTGTTCAAATTGTCACACAATTGGGCACTTTTAAAGTGCTCTGTAGCCATGCACTTCTATAAGGGCATGGCTGTAGAGTGCTTCCAAGGAGTTGATTTCACGACAAATGTAACTTCTGTCTGCACTGTATATGTAAAATCATTGTAATTTGCACTGCAGCTAATGCACATTTGAAGTGCTACTGTAATAATCTATAGGACTCAATACAGACAGTCAACTTTGGGGTTTTTGTATATTCAGTCTTCTCAGGTTAGTTTAAGCTGCATAGATTGAATCACTAAGGAAGTGAAGAGACATTCACTTTTGATTCGAGAAATGCAGCCATATGCTTGCAGTGGCCAAGGCTAAAAATATTCAAAGAGTAAATACTCAGAAGAGAGAATAATTATATAGCATTACATAAGGAATATAACAAGCATCAGTAGAATAATAAGAAAAGAAAAAATGGTCTGAATATCAGAAAAAATTTTGTGGCAGTGAAATTTATTGGATTTTTTAACAGAGTTTCCAAGAAGTGGTGGAAGCACTTGGGAGATTTTAAGCTTAATTGAACAAAGAGCTATAAATTTGAGGAAGAGGAAGTTTGGCTTTGTGATTAAAGTACTGGATTTTAGACCTAGGAGATAATACTGGGTTGATTTCAATTTGAATACTGCATGCAGTGCCCAGCTCAGTGAGCAGGACCTTAGATTGTGATGAGAAACAATATCCACAATGAAAAGAATGCTCCTCCACCATAATAATGCTGTCACTCCTCATTTGGCATGGTGATTATTGTTTATGCATTTTAGCATTAGTATTGCAGCAGCAGAAATTTCCAACTGCCTGTCTAAAAAAGTTGAGTCCACAGACCAAGTGAGTTCTGTACTAGTAAGCTTAACGTCTGCATTTCTTTTTTAGACTAGAGAATGTTATGGGCATGAACAGGATGGCAGGTGTTCATACTAGACCCTTGAAAGACAAATTAAGGGAAGATGTTTAAAACATAGACACAAATGAAGGATTTGGCTAATTGTATGTTATTATCATTTTATGCATATAAGAATGGATGACATTTTGCTTCCAAATGCTGAAGAGTGTGAAATAATTACAAGTTTTACATTAGAGTCAAATCTTAAAAAGCATTACTTAGGCAAGTAGTTCTTATTCACTTAAGTATCAGTTAAATTCATTGTAGCTACTTGGTGCGAAAAACGATTCTCTACACACACATTTTTCATGACATGACTCTAATTGATCAGCTCTGGATTATTACAGAACTGATGCTATGGGCTGACTGTGTTCATAGTACAGAACATCACAGAAGATATCATCACATGTGGTGCAGTTTTAGGAGCTGTTCAGTTGCCCATTTCCAGTCTATGAAACAAATCCCATTGGCTTTGCTGGGCTTTCATTTGGGCTCTTAGTGAACCTAAATCAGCAGCATGTTTAAATGTGTCCCTAACCAGGAGCACTAAAGTAAAGATTGAAGGGGAAGCTGGTAGTGGTGGTATGGTTAATTTTTAGATAGTATGTGGAAGCAAAACACTGCAGTGATTACCAGTGCAACTTGTAACCAGGAGTGTTCCCCTCATATAGGACTCTTGAAAATGAGGGACAGTTTTTGAGAGCTGCTGTGGTCTATCTGTTCTGTGAATAGGGAACTTCAGTCTTGGGGACTGTCAAGTTTACACCTTTCATAAGCCCCATATTAAAATTTATATTAAGAACTAAGAAAACAATTGTCACCACGGTACTTTAATCAACAGTTAAAAATAATTGGTGCCTAGTTTTTCTTGGGGTCTTTAAAAATGGGTGTTAGTTAAATTAGAACTTTTGAACTTATCTCTGCAAAATGGTGATGGTAAAATTTTTGCCAAAATTTAGAATTTCCTATCACTTATGTAAGACTTCAGAGTTTGTTAAATGATCACATCCATAGTGAAGTTATTTTATATCATAATGGAAACTATAAACATTATTTTACTGCTAGGTTTGGATTTATATCTCCAGATTTTGTTAGCAATTAAATCAATAAAATTCACTTCACAGTGATATACCAGTATAATGAGAAGAGCCTATCTATTACTGGAAGTGTTTTGTCTTTGTGCTTGCTGTTGCATTCCCTTAATGTAGTTTCATAGTTGGTAGGGTCGGAAGGGACCTGAGCAGATCATCAAGTCTGACCCCTGCCATGGCAGGAAAGAGTACTGGGGTCAAACGACCCCAGCAAGGTGTTCATCTAGCTTTCTCTTAAAGACCCTCAGGGTAGGAGCCAGCACCACTTCTCTTGGAAGTTGGTTCCAGATTCTAGCCACCCTGACTGTGAAGTAGTGCCTCCTGATATCTAGCCTAAACCTACCCTCTGCTAGCTCGTGACCGTTATTTCTTGTCATTCCTGGTAGTGCTCGGGGGAACAGGGACTCCCCCAATGCCTGCTGGTCCCCCCTGACTAGTTTGTAAATGGACACTAGGTCCCCCCTCAGCCTTCTCTTGTGGAGGCTGAACAGGTTCAGGTCCCTTAGCCTCTCCTCGTAGGGTCTGCCC